ATCTACTATGTGTTAGTCAAGGTTCTTCAGAGAAACAGAACCAATAGGATGTGTATATAGGAAGCAATGAGATTCACTTTATTTATTTATTTATTTTTATTTTTTAAAGATTTTATTTATTTGAGAGAGAGGGAGAGAGAGAGAATCTCCAGCAGACTTCACACCGAGCACAGAGCCTGCTGTGGGGCTCTCAATCCCAGGACTCCAAAATCATGACTGAGCCAAAACCAAGAGTGAGATACTCAACCGAATGAGCCACCCAAGCACCCTAGTAGAATTCATTTTCAAGTATTGGCTCATGTGATTGTGAGGACTAACAAGACCAAAATCTTCAGAGCAGGCCAGCAAGCTGGAAATTTCAGAATGAGCTGTTGTTGCAGTCTTGAATCCAAAGGTACTTTGGAGGGTTCTTTTCAGAAGATGTCAGTATTTTTTCTGAAGGTCTTCAATTGATTAGATGACGCCCAGTCACATTATGTAATCTGCTTTACTCACAATCTACTGATTTAAATGTTAATCATATCGAAAAAATTACCTTCATAGCAACATTTACATGGTGCTTGACCAAACAACTGGGCACCATAATCTAGCCAAATTCACTCATAAATTTAACTATCACAGACTATGTGTTAGGGACTATAAGGAATTGCAGGCTACACTGGGGAATAGTTGAGTTTGGAAGACATCCAATGAACAGTTGACCGCTCAAACATGAATTAGACACTTCCCAGGTGCCTGAAATGTCAAGTGTGGGTATTTGGAGAAATTATAGCAGAGAAGCCTAACCCAGCCTGAGGGACTTGGAGTGGCTCCCCTAAGAAAGTGACATGTAGACTGGAGGCCTGAAAGCTGAAAGATGGGTTAACCAAGCAAAGACGGGAGGAGAAATTTCTAAGCAGAGGAAAAAGTCCTGAGGTAGAAGGAGCATACCAAAAGCTGGGAGAGGCCCCCATGGTTGGATACCAGGACACTTGAAAGGGGAAGAGCCAGATCCTTTAGGATCTTATGGATGAGATTTGCCACAGACGGGCCTCAGGTAAGACTGAGATTATGAAAAGTCTCTCTTAATGCTCTGTGGCTAATGGATCAGAAGGGCTAAGAGTGGCTGCAGGATGACCAGTTAGGGGACGAGATAGTGGTGCAGGTGGGGGTGGAGATGGTGAGAGCTGAATGAGCTCAAAAGATATTTTGGAGTATATTTAGGGACACATGACGTCTAGTCATGGAAGTTGAGGGAGAAGTAGGTATCAAGGAGATCCCACAATCTCAAGCCTGCTCAGTACTTTGGATGAAGGTCTCACGGTGCTGCTAGTTATGAAGAAATGTTGGTGGAGTCTGTGTTCAGTAAGGGGTGTAGAGTTGGAGGCACTTGGGGTGTAGCCAGGTGGAGACATCTACTAGGTAGTTGGACACGTAACTCTGAGACTCTAAAAGACACCTAGGATGAGAGAGAATTGAAACTATGGAGATGGATTTGTCTGCAGAGAGAGAGAGTATCATGAAAGAGGAGGCTAAGGACCAAGCTCAGAGTAACTCAGGCCTGAGGGCCAGTTACAGGAGGAGAAGATGGAAAAGGAGAATGATCTGAGAAACAGGGACGAAACTAGCATCTTCCAAGCCAGCAACACTGCCTCTCTCTCTCTCCCTAACCACAACTGGGAAAGGTTTTCTGTTTTTACGGACTTGTGTGATTAGGTTGGGCCCACCCAGATAAACCAGGATAATCACTCAAGACTTTTAGCCTTGTTCACATCTATAACCTTAATTCCATTTGCCCTGTAACATAACATCTTCAAGTGTTCCAGAGATTAGTATGTGGATATCTTTAGGGGGCCATTTTTCCGCCTACCACCAAAACAACTATGTGGAATGCTGCTCAGAAGTCGCAGAAGATAAAAACTGAAAGTGTTCCAGTTGGTTGGGGCACGTGGAAATAAACTAGAGCAAATTCAGTAGATGGGAGATCATGAAAATGGGCTAAAAATTAAATCAGAGGGATTAGAAGTAGATAATTTTTTTCAAGAAATCCGACTGTGAGTAAGGAATGCAGGTCTTGAAACCCACTTAAGCATGAGTGAATATTTATTAGGACTGGAAGAATCATTGTCTATATTTAGAGTTTGGCTGTTGGTTAGCAAGAATTCTACCCTCCCTAATTCCAGAGAGCCTCTTGTATTCTATCATGAATATCTGAGGGAAGATGAACAAGGAAATAATTAACGTTAACAAATAAAAATAAAACCTAGAAGATACTTGTTAACTGTGACAACGAAACTAAGATAAATAACAAATATACATTCTGAAACTCCTGATGTTTATTTCCACTTTTCAAAGGGGTAATCATCATGTGGTTTTAGATACATGAGTTCCAGGGCAATTAATCATCTAATAAATGTGTCTCTAACAAGCATTTGCTAATAGCTTGATGTTGGCAAAAATAATATGTTTCAAATCTGCTGCCTCTGAAGCCAAAAGATTTCAGCATAGTATCTGTGCTGGTCAAGGTTGTGCTTAAAATGAAAGTCAGTGTTAATATGAAAGAAACAAATAATAAATCAAATTAAAAAAGGAAAAAATACTCTAATACTTATAAACCGGTGAAAGCATTATCATAATAGTTAAGAATTATTGAGTGATTGACTAATTGCCAGTGCTATTTCGGGAGTTGTACATTAGCTCATTTAATCATTAAGACACTCCTACAAGTAGGTAAAAAGGCTACCCCCATTTTAGAAATGTGGAAACTGAGGCAGCACACACCAGGACTAGAGTTCCAATCTAAGCAGTCTACAAATTTCGAGATACCAACAGCAATCAGTAACACTCTGCTGAGTACCCCATTTTAAGTACCGTACAGACCTAAGTCACTACAGGTTTGCCAGAGTCCTGAGAGAGAGGCATTTCCCTGCCATCACCTGAGGAAGAAACCGAGGCACAGATAGGGGAGGCCACACACGCAGTAAAGGCTAAGCTAGCATTCACATCCAGCAGACTGGCTCTGGAGTCCAATCTCCTACCGAAATAGCTGAAAGGTGATGTTTTTTGAACTTCATGGAGACAGTGCTTTCTTAACCATTGCTGCTTTTGTCTTCTTAAAGTCTTAAAAATGAAAAAAAAATTAATTTCGATGGGCTTCCCTCTCTGAAGTTCACCTTCACCTTTCTTAAGAATTGGGTGATCTATAAAGTTTCTTTCAGCTGCATAATCCCGTGAACAAAATGCTGTTGGTATCATGTGCCTGAATTCCTTCTGTTCTTCTGACAAGTCTTTATTGTTGTGTTTTTACGTGTGTTTTAATTGTATGCTACATTTTATGATCGTAATGATCACTAATTGTTTATAATAAGCATTTATTGAGCATTATTGTTATTATTGAGCCTTTCTTTATTGTAACATGCTGGGTGCTAGGCTGAGTGCACTCCTTGGTTTCCTTTACTTAATCTTCACACAGGCTTTGCTTCTAATTGTGGTTACTCTCCATAGCTGACAGACGTAGAAACTGAGCTTAGAGACATTTAGAACTTTGTTCAAGTCACACCACTCATAATTGGCAGAGCTTGAGATCAAACCCAGAAAACCTTACTCTGAAACTCTGAAGCCCAGTCCCCTTACCACTTTGCCCCAATGTGTGGGTTCCACACCAGAAACTCAGACAAGACGTCAGCAAAGATGGATATTCGGCTTACATATAAAAAGGTGAAATGAAGAGAAATACACGATATGTCTGCCTAAAACCATCTCTCTCTGACATAACCAAGTGGTAATTTCCACAACAAGACCTTTCCCCTGGAGTTTGGCGTGGGGGATCCAAAGGAGCAATTTAACATAGGATTGGGAACAATTCTTTAGATACTTATTCCCCAAGCCAGCAGACAGATTATTTCCTTGAAGCTAACGGAATCTGAAGGAACACACTTGAAGTGTCTGAAATGCAGGTGAGGCTTTTAGAGCTTTGTTTATGACTGAGACGGAACTGGGTGAAGTGTAACCAGGCCTGGAGTGTGTGTGTAAACTCATGAATGTGTATGTGCATGGTGGCCTCATGCAGGTAATGGATCTCAGAGAGTTAGGTGTCAGACTCTAGAGAAAGCATATTATATACAGGGAAGAAAGCAGCTAATTGAATATAAGAGGGTATTAAAGAAGAAATATGACCCAACATGTCTGCCTCAATTGGGCCATAAGCTGAGGGAAAGAGACTGTCCTGAGGGTGGTCCCCACTTAGGAAATGCCTAGAAACATCGAAGTAGTGGGAAATGAGTTGTAATAAAATCATGGATTTAGAAGCCTTGTGAAATTGTCTAGCCTAAACTTTGGCCACTGCACAAGCCATGTGAATTGCCTCCGATAGCAGCTATTCGGGGCCCATTTTAGAGGTCAGCCCAGAATGAGATTCCCCAGTCGCCGTTCCAGTCGTACTTGCTCCCAAGAAAGCCATTACTTATTTAAATCCTTGTACATCAGTTTAATCTCCACGTTGCCCTCCAGAACAATGAAACGGGGATGTATCACTGTCCACCTAAATGACCCTCGTGATCCTCTGCCAACACAGAGGAAGACCAAGTGTCATTTATAAGACTCATAGTAGTCGAACCATATGGAAAATGACTGTCATCATTTACTATTGCTTAGAAGTGGAGGAGTAAAATTTGTACCTACAGTCAGGTTAAGCATTTTGTGAATAACAAGGAAGCCCCAAGCACATTAACATTCCTTACAAATCTACAGAAAAGTTCTTTCCTTTGCTTATCTGGGTCTTGGTCCTTAATGACAAAAACAATGATGGTAATAGTATTCTTATAAAGCACTACTGTGAGGATGAATCAGGTATCATTTGAGAAATGTTTACCATCATCAATGCTATGAACACCTTTCGGGAATCATGAATTTTACATCTGTGTCCATACGGAGCAGATGTTAGTGAAGGGTGATTACATTATTCATTTTGATCAACATTTACAAGTGTCGAAATCGGCTAACTTTTTGTAATTTGTTCACAGAAATGTAACCTGGAATAGCTTAGCTATCCCAGATACGCACTGCTCACCAGAGCTGGAGGAAGGCTACCAGTGCCCCCCAGGATTTAAATGCATGGACCTTGAAGACCTGGGACTTAGCAGGCAAGAGCTGGGCTACAGTGGCTTTAATGAGATAGGTCTGTCTTACCACTAAAACACATTTTCAGTTTCTTTTTTACAATGTTTATGAAATGGAAAGAATACTTGTGTGATTGATATTTTCTGTTAAGATTGGCTATATAGCATTTAAGAAACATAACAGCAGATTTTAATCGTCTGCCTAGATTGTGGTATAGTCTCCCCTGCAGTCTGTAGAGTCTGCTTTTGGGTGGATATTCAGCAGTGTCTGTAGAGAGTGAAATATCCCTGATTTTAGACTATTTTTGATTCTTAATTAGAGCACTTAAAAATATTTCATTGATCAAGGTTCAGGGCTTATTGACTCAAAGATAAACAAGGCTTGGTGTCCTTCCGCATGTAACTGTACCCCAGCAGGCAAGGTAAGTCTTATGTCTCTGAAATAGTAGCCACTGAGTGAGTGCATGAGAGCTGGAAAGTAATCCTGGAACAGAAGACAGCTAAGGAAATACTTAATGAATATCTATCAACTGTATAATAGATGTGTGGGAAGTGCTTATACATGAATATGCTGTACTCAAATGTATACATTTATCTGTGGCTTGTCCTATGAAGTCCTGAAATGTGCCGTTATATACAGTAATGAAAGCACTTAGCATCTGCCATTTACTTGATATCATTGCATTTATTACAATTCTGTGCAAGTTGTACAAATTTCATTACCGAATCAAAAAAACCCCATGGAATTCTAAACAATTATTCCAGCTTTGAGAATCTGTCTTAGCCAGCTCAGGCTGCCATAACAAAATACCATAGACTGGGTGGTGTAAATAATGTAAACTCATTTCTCAACAGTCTGGAGGCTGGAAGTCCAAGATCAGGGTGTCAGCATGGTTGGATCTGGTGAGGCCTTTCTCTGTGGCTTGGACATGGAGGGAGGAAGAGGAAGAGGGAGAAAACTCTCTGGCTTCTTCTTGAAGGGAAATAATCCTATCATGAGAGAGCACTCTCATGACTTCATCTAAATTGAATCAACATTCCAAAGGCCCCATCTCCTAATATCATCGCACTGGGGGTTAGGACTTCAACATATGAATTTGGGGTTGGGGGGAACACAAACATTCAGTCCATAACAGAATCGTTATCAGAATCATTTGAAAAAAAAAAACAACAACAATTTTTCCTTAAAGTGTCAAGGCCCGGGTGGCATTTAAGAGTGTTTAGACACTCACAGAATCTTAGAGAAGAATCTCAGTGTGTAGCAGAGTGGTGGTTATCTTTGGAAGCCAAATCTATTTTGTGACTTTTAGTGTGGTTTCATATCTCAGTGGACAGCTGTACAATGGGGGGTTTCCATGGCCAGGGAAGAAAGCATGAGTTCCTTTCAACCCTGATGGCAACTGCTATGAACCCAGCCAATCAATCTTTGTACATCAGGAACAGTGGCTGATAAATCCTCCTCTCGCCCCAGCCTTTAGTGATGGCAGCTCACAGACGGTGTTATTGCAGGATGGCATCAAGAACTCTGGGCCAAGTATGGGAATTTCAGAAAGAATATGTGAAGGTCTTGCACTGATTAAGGAATATTTTTCTGGTATATGGACTAAACCACAAGGCTACAGCCTCTGGATGGAATAGAATACTGAACTTGGCCTGAAAAAACACAAATAGTTGGTATTAAAAAAAAGTGAGTTTTGCAAATAACATTCCTAAATTTTTGTTCTAGTATTTTAATATGCCCTCAGAGGTGGATTTCCAGCATTGAATTTGGACAGATAATCTTTCATCCCTTTGGCCAATGATATAATTTTATAAAGTCCAAAACTTCAGAAGCCAGCAGATGGGGAAGCATCTCAATTTGCTGTACTCTCTTGAACCTGTCTGGCTTTGGAATCCATCTCACAGCCTTCCCCTCGGCTCCTAAGAGAGGAGGACTTTTACGCATTATAGCAATGACTGTCAGGGATGAGCAGGAAATCACAGGTGTGGTATGGGAGATGGATATATAGCTTTGGTAAACTGGTGAAATAAGCTGCAGGAATCCTAAGAGCTGGGGCACAGCTAGAACGCACGGCTTCTCAGAGCCAGCAGCTCTTTCTCTTAAGGGGGGCTAACTGGCTGTACCCATGTCTTGTATGGAGCGTGGCCAGCATTCAGTAGTGAGGCTGACCTTGCACAAAAACCTCCAGTCCTTTCGAATCATATTGCTAAATCAAATTACTTCCTGGCCATTTTGAATGCAGCAACTGTGCCTACACTCAAAATGCTGCACTATATTCAAGCTGATTCAGCTTTCTTCACTGTAACTTCCAATGACTTCAACCCATGTATGGTAACTCTTTGAGGGAGGGCGTTTCCTCAGAGAGTGTGTTGGCTTGAGAAGCCTGACTCAAGGAGAGAACTGCCCTGCGGGCGGCAGGCCCCCACTAAGGCAGTAATCTTACTGTTTATTTGCACATTTATCTCCCAAGGATTTAAGCTCCTTGAAAACAGGAAGCACATCTTTTCATTCATCTCCACTTCTTCAGGGCCTGGCGCAGTGCCGGCCTCTATAAATATTTTCTAATGGACTGAACAAAGTATATGTTCTTTTGAATTTGATGGTGACCAGTCACGTTTGTGTTAGGGTATAGAGCCACAATAGAGAAGTAAGTTGTTTTCTTGTGGTTCTTTCCCCCAGTTTTGTGTTTTTGTTGGCAGTATTCACTACTCCTCATGACTTGCTTTTCTATACAAGCTTAATTTGGTCTGCTTGCTTCTTTTTCTCAAATGATGCTCGAGTTCAACGCCATTGTATGACTAATGGTTACGTAATGAAATGTTAACTTTGTACTATAATCAGAAAATTTTAGAATGGTCACTGTAGTTTGGACTGAAATGGTCTGTTATTATGCATCTATGTAGATACACAAATTGTGGTATTTTAGATCATCTTTAAAGTTTTTATGGAAACAAAATATAATTTTCCCCCAAAAATGAGGAGAAGAAATTATTTTCTTAGACTCACATGATCATCTCTTTTTGCATGCAGTTGAATTTAAAACAGGTGCCCAATTGTCCATATAAATTTGACCAATGTACTTTATATGTAAGTAAGCATGATTAATTTAAAAGGAGCACGTTTCCTCTTCTTACTAATCAAATTGTCATACAATACATTGAATTGCAAAGCATTTATAAAATTTCATTGATAAGTAGCTTTGTCTCATTAAAATTTAAAACTGATGATATTGAGAAACTCAATTTTTGAAATATATTAAAAGCTAGAGTCATTAAAGTAGAAAAATGACACAGAGCCCCAACTGTAAAATTGCAAAGTAAAGACATCTTTGCATCTCTGAAATCATCCACCATCAAGGAGACTGAGAAACAGAAATGCAATTTCCATATTCAAGGACTCCGAAAAACCCGTAACTAATAAACCACACATCAGAAGACCAGGTGTCTAACAGAATACTTCCTGAAAGGATTCTGGCTACTGAGGATCTCTGGCAGAGCCAGGGGAATGCTGACATTAAAAATAATATTCCCAGGGAAGCAGAACAGTCCTCTCTTTGAGCCAGGGAATCAGTGTGTCGCTGACCCTGGGAGCTTTCTGGGACTCACTGAGCTACCTCAAAGTGGAGCCCTTGTTGGGGCCAAGCGGTTGGTGGAGAAATAGAGTAGACGACAGACCCTCAGTCTAGAGGGGCCCCAATGCTGCTGATCTGTGTTCACGAATACGAGGGGCCAACCTGGCTATACCTTAGGATCACCTTGGGGAGTTTAAAACACACCAATTCTCAAGCACCACTCCCGGGCCAGTTAAATGAAAAACCTTGGAATGATCCAAGGCATAGATGGTTTTTAGAAGCTCGAAGGTGTTCTAATGCGCATGCACAGTTATGAGCACCTGGACCGAGGCAGCAGTGGTACACAGGTAAACACACCTGTCCTAGAAAAAAACTCTCTTCTCTCCCACAGTGCTACCTGACAAATACTTGGTCCTCTAAAATTGATTTCACAGTTGAGTAACAGTCAAAAAGAATGAGGACCATATCTATAAAAATGTACTTTTAGGTATGTTTAAAACTGAAAAAAAAATCCAAGAGATATAATTTTTAAAATTGCAGAAGAAGACAACCTAAATAGATGGATTTAAAGGGTACCACTGTCTCAGTAGATGAGCAGAGAACAATCAAAGCCGAGACATTTCTTACTAAAGTTGCTGGACTTTGGAGCTAAAAAAAGCATCCAGTGGGCATCCAGAAAAAAATAACCAAGTCAGTTCTTTTTCTCTTTTTTTTTTTCCAAGCGATGCTCAAACAGGAGTAGCCCCAGGAGGAGCCCAGGGTCCCCAGTCAGTTCTAAGGGGAGCCATCAGAGAGGACCGAAACTTTGTCAGAACTCAAGTCTAGGATACAAGGACACAGGGCTTACAAAGTCCCCAGAGAAAGAACGTGTTCAGCTCGTTTTGGTTACTGTCAAAGAAACGAGAACTCAGAGACTTCCTTTTACATTAATCCTTCTTGAAGACACTCGGCCAATCAAGAAGGATGGATCATGAACCTAGTCTCTAGTATCTCCTCAGTGGAAAAACATAGCTAATACGACTTCAGGATTTCTGGAGTATAATATAAATATTGCAGCTTATGGTCATGTAGAAGAGCAGAGAAGAAAATCAGGGGGTAGTGTAATGATGTTAGTGTCCTTATACTCAGCAATAAAAATTGTATCATCTTACACAATATGTGAATCACGTGATGGAGGTATATGTGTACTTGCACAAGAATGCATTACGAAGTAAAAAATCACCTACTTTAGAAAAAATTCAAAACTCAAAATAATGGCCCTGCGGTTTGGATCACAGCTGTACCACATACTGGTAGGGTGACCTGGGAAAAGTAATTAACCTCTTCCGGCCTCAATGTCCTTATCTGTAAGATGGGGTAAAGGATAGACGTCCCTCATAGGGTTGATGTTAGAAGTCACAGAGACACTGCACTTAGGACACTTGGCACAGAGTGAACACATGATGAGCCAGAAATCAGAGCTGCACTGGCCAAACAGGAATGCATCT